GGTTAGGTTAAGATTAGGGTTAATGTCCTTTATAGCAGGAGGCCAAGTTATTTGAGGGGGTTATTTCCCAATTGTATCTGCTTGTACCATCAAATCTGGCAGAAGTATGATGCGGATCCCATTTGTGAAAAAGTTACGTCTGCTGTGGCATTCATACTGAGATGAGATGGATCCCATCTCCGCCAACCTTGGGGAAATCCCTTAAAACTTGGTTGTGTCAAGAAGCCTGGGCATCACAAGGAAATAGTAATTTGATTAGATTTGACCAGTAATTCCATAGCTGATCACCTGATGCTCTTAAGTCTTTTTTTATAATCTTCACTTTTTGTAGTTTTTAATGTTTTTAAGAATTTTATAGTTTGTATGCCACCCAAAATCACATTGCAAGTTGGGCGGCCATATACATGTAACTTGTTTTTTTACAATTATATTCTCCCAATAAAAACCCCATAATATGAGGGTAAATATCATATATGACAAAACAATTGCTTCCAAAATTCTTATTTTAGCCACTTGGCTTTCTAATGCAATTTGCAGCCTTCTTAAATTGAATTGTATCCTATCTGTTACTCCTTTTATTTTCTTCTTTAATATTAAAGAAGAAAGAAGGAAAGATGTGTGACTAGAAGATACAGAATGAATGATCATTGAATTATCTCAAAATTATAGTAAGCAGACATCACGGCATTCATAATTCATAATGGCTTGCTTGTATTTTTTCCTTGCTGACACAATTTTAAATGCCGTAATTTCCACCTACCTAAAAAGAGAGAAGGCAAAATAAGTGTAGTAAGTCAACAGAAAGCAAAGTTTAATGCCATGACTGAAGGTAGTGCTATGCTTGGCTATTGGGATTTTAAAAATCACCTGCCACCTTTACATCAAGAGGCAGCTCAGAAATTCTGGAACTCAGAGCCACAGCTCTTCTTTTTGTACTGCTTGCTGACAATATCAGGCAACTGATAGATGGCCCCAGGAGTTTCATGTAGTTAAATAAATTGGGGGGGGGGAGGAGAAGACTGAACTCTTGACACTTGAGGGTTTGAGCTCTTCTCCTGAAGCAAAACTAAATGGAGGGGTCTTCCATAAAGGACAGTGCCTCCAACTAGCAACATTTTTAGACACTCCAAAGTGATACTAAATGTCATCAAGAGATCTCATAGGATGAGAAGTGGTAGCTACCTCCCTCCAAGTCCCATCATAGGTCATCCAGAAGAGTAATCAATGTGGTCTACGCCCTGTTATGAAGTTCAGTTGCATCTGTTTTATTCATCAACCTGTTCAGCTGCCTTCTTAATAATCTTTCTAAGAAATGAGGTTGGGGAGTAGACAAGGCTATATCCAGAGATGGCTTAAGGAGGGTGTACAATGCTGAGTTCTTCAAAACAGGTGTCATTACCATCTCCAAGTGTCTTTCTGGCCACCCTTTTTATTCAAGAAAGGAAAAGGTCCATTTAGAATTTTATTTATTTTTTTATTTTTATTTATTTTGATTTGCCAATTGTTTACAAGATAATAAGTATAAGTGTATACATAGTTGTGAATACATGAAATGGGTACATATAAGAAAAATAATTCTGGAGAACTCTTGTCAATTTCCTTAGTATCACAGATTTGAGAGTCCCAGATAACCTCATAACATGATACTTTTGTCTTTTTATGAAACTATTTATTGTGTATTCAGTTCAAAACTCCTCAAAGTATTAGCAAACTGTTCCCTGACCCAAAGACAATTTTATCAATTGCCCTGGCTGCCAGCAGGCTTCCAGAGACAACTTATTTTCTATAAAACCTTAACTAGTTTCCTTCTAAGACATCTGAAAAATCGTGTCTTCCAACTTACATTATTCTGCAATTTAAAATATGCTTTGTAGACTCCTTGTTCAGTATTTCACTACCCATATTGCTGAACACAAAGCATAGGACGTTCTTTCCAAAGCAACTCTACCTATGGACATTTCTTTTTACAAACTTGAGGTGAATTCTTTTTGTTTAATAAAGGCTTTTTTGTGTCAAGTTTGTTTGGTCTTTTAAGTATCACTAATTACTGGCATTCAGTTCCGAACAACAAATGATCTATTAGGCTTAAACTGAGCATACAAAAACTATGCTCAAAATTATTCTAAATATAGTATATTATAGAAAAACTCAACCTAAAAGTATTAACATTTAGTCATAGAATTCCTAGCACAGCTGAAAAAACAAATCTTCCTCAAATTGATTTTGTATGAGTGGATACCATTACTGGGTCATTTAATTTGAAAAACTTAGAATGGTTATATGCATGAATAAATATCATTTTGACATTGGCTGACTGAAAAGTTTTCTATTCAAGACACTTCTCTTGCCATAAATCACAGGCATTAATCAAGAGATAAACTGTAGCACAAATATAATTCATTGCCCTAATGCAGCAAATAAAAACTTCAAATTATTTTTGAAAACTCATTAAAGCTTTCAAGTTATATCACAAATGACTATAGTTGTTAGAAGCTATAACTATACTAATAAAATCATATGATCATTGATATGTATTAGGAAATCACCAAATCCGGACATTTTTCCAATAGCATAGGAAAGGGCATAGGTTGGCCATAAAACATTAAAAACAAAAAAGCACATTATTTTTCTCTTAAATCATTTGCTGACCACTGGATTCCATATTAGGGGGAAACATTTTCATAACTATTTTAGCAATTGTGATTTGTGCCTATGTAAAAATTCCACTTTGCAATTCCTCCACATCCTCCTTCATCTTCTTTGCTAGACAAAAGACAGTATCTTTTAAAAAAAACAACAGAGAATGTTCGTTATCTTGGAGGTGAAACATTCTGCAAAACAGAAGCTATCTGGGAATTGATGCCATACCACAGGATAGAAAATGAAATACTGTAATGGAAAAACTACCACAAATAATATTAAATACTATCTAGCAGAACTGTAAAACTTTTGATTTATGGCAAACAGAAGGTTAGATGTTCTGTATGAGTTGTCAACATACTTTGTGGCAAATATTATTTTAAAAGTCATATTTGAGAAACTTCCATATTATCGGTCTCAGAGAAGCGTTAATGTTAGGGGGGCTGCACTTTGATAGTATAACCAAAGTTTCTGTTAAAAAAAACAAAAAGAAAGAAACAATATATCCACAGTACCTTGAATACATATGGAAGTTTTCATTAACAGTTCCCACTTATACCATATAGACACAACTAAAGTGGACCTAAGCTGAATTCATATTTTCACAAATAGCTTTGCTCCTATATAGTAAATTATTAAAAAGAAAGAATATTCTTAAAAATTGAATTCTTACCTGACTATATGTAGACATAATACGGTCAATTCCAAATTCAGAGTAAAATGTGTATATTTGAACATATTGTTTAATGTTGGTCCACTGCCAGAATCAGTTATTTCACTGAACTGGTTTTTATACTTTCCAAGTAACAAATCTATAGCACTTATATCAAATGAAAACACATAAACTATAACGATTGTTAGTTTTTAACACAGAATGTTAAAATTATTATTTGTTCTTCGGTTTAGTTATGTTAAAAAGCTGGCAACTTTTATTTTAGAGAAATGCAGTTTTAAACTATGTTTTGCTAGTAGTTCCATATCTCCTGGCAAGCAATGTATCATTTTTACATCCACAAATAACTTTTTTGCACAATAAACTCACAAGGCATGTATCCTGCACAGCAAAGGCATTTATCCATAAATACAGGTCAAATAGATGTACAGTGCCATCTAGACAATATTTAGAGAGCAACAGTCCTTCTGTGAATAAGTTGCAATAATCAAAGTAGTGCATCCAATTCTTATTATAAATGCATTAAAACATAGTAATGTATGTTCTTTGAACAGAAAGAGTATAGTAACATTCAATGTTTTAGACAGTAGAGAGATCCATGCCAAAAAAATTATATTTTTCTAGACTTATTTAGTGTACAAGTAATTTATGTATTGTACTGTATCATGTGGTAATTAGAATCATTAATTTTCCAAGGTAACTTTTTGCATGACAAATCCTAATGAATGAATTTCAGACTCATCTGAAGAGACATTTACATAATTTAAAAACAAAAGTAATATTTATTAAAAATATTCAGACTTGCTCCTAAAAGAGAAATTGGGTTTTTAAAAAATACTTTTTAATTGCCCACATTTAAAATATCTCATAAACTGTCCAATAGTAATTTCAAGAATGCAATGCGTATTTCACTGCCTACTTCAATATATATATAGCATTGCTATTAAGATATAATACTACTGGGATATTGGGATATAATACTACTGAATATATTTCAGTTTATGTATAGCAATACAGGTGTAGTAAGGAGGTGACATTTTTTGTAATAGTGTTGAAACATTATGGAACAATCCTCATCTGGAGATTAGAGAAGTTCTCACACTGGAATGCTTTGTCAAAATTTTTTTTTTTTAAATCACTCAACTTTCTATTTTGCTAGCTACTCTTAATGATCCTTTATTTTAAACTTGCTGGCCTTATCTTTGTTACTGTTAGTATTACCCTAATATACGCCACTTGAGTATCATTTACTTGAGTAAATGAAAAACAGTTGCACATTATTTCTTTTGATTTTAGGGAAAAAAATATATATATAATAATGTAATTTTATTTCAAAATGTGATGGAATAAATGTGTTATCTCAATTTTCTAGTCAAGATCTAGCCAAGAACTTTTTCACCTAGTAATAACCAGATCAAAACGGAAATTCTGCTAATGCTTTTGCTTTCAACCCAATGAACCCAGCTCTTTTTAATTCCGTAAGGATACACTGCATACATTGCAAGTTTCAAATCTCCCAAAACAATCACAATTCCCATTTTACAAATTTGAAAAACCTAATATGCTTTCACATATGTTCTATTCTGTATATAATAATGTGTAAGTAATATACATCAACACTGCCATGTTAACATCTGAATTGGCTATAATCCATTAATTTTGCATTCACATTCTTGGTGTCAGACTGAGCTGTTCTGAATAGATTTAAATTTTTATCTAGCAATAAAATAGTACTCTGAACTGCTGCAAGCATATTCAGGTCTTGTCATAATTTTCAGGCAATTTAGAAAAGTAGAGGATAATGAAATGTCTAGAAAAACACAAAAAATCCCCTCAGGTTTTCTATGAAAGAAAAGTACTGAAATAAGGAAAGATAAAAGAAATTACATATTATGATTTATATGTGACAGATCTAGTTCTAATTGCAGGGAATTATTTTATAAGTGATGTCATGACGATGCCTGCTTGTTCGTTCTTCTCTCCCGCAAAGTATTTTAAAAAGGATTACAATAGCCATCAGATTGGGCTTGTGTTTTCTCATGTCTTCCTAGGGTAGTTTCCTTCTTTTCCATTTAACCTTTTCCTGTCAATTTTCCTAAAATCCTTTTCCTTGTTTATTTAGCTTTTGTTTCAGCCTATATTTCTTGTTAAATGTAGTTCTACCTCAGAAATGTCATTTTTCATTCTCCCTTATTTGTCCCATGCTATTTTAGTTATAGTTACATAGATAACATTTCAATTTATGTTCAATTTTCTGTTCCAGACTGGTATAGTAATTTATGCTGTTCTAGGGGTTGAATATTCACTTTCAGCATCTGTCAACATTGGCCCCAATTCCTAAGAATGCTGCAAGTCCTAGTTTCATTAACCTTTGGAACAGGATTTCTCAATCTTGCTAACTTTAACACTCATGGACTTCAACTCCCAGAATTCTCCAGCCAGCATGTTGCCAAAATAAAGAAACCCTGGTCTAGAATGTTCTTTAAATAATACACATAGGAATTATTGAATACTTATTACATAATGCAAACTTTTAATTTACAAAAATTACCTAACCATTATAGACTTCTTTTTGAAATTGGGTACATTACTTACATAAGGAAGTGTTTGCATTTACAGGTTTCTAGGGGCAGAATGATAATCACTGATGTCATTTAGTTTTCAGTACAAACAATGGAAAAAAGAACCAGAAAATGGATGTGTCTCCCCTATGAGTGATCTATGTGTCTGAAATGCCAAATGCTTTCTTTGCTAACAAGGGTCATTATTATGCATGCAGATTTCATTCCATTCTGTTAAAAAGCTTAATAATTTATCACCATTTTAAAATTCTGCAATGATAAACAGGGGAGGAAGTCTTAGACTGCCAGTTACAAACCAAATCAAATGACGTAGCCTCTGAAGCGAGTTGACCTGACTTCTTACCAAATTGCTGATAAAGCCAGCCAGAATAAATCTAACCAATCAGTTTAATTTTCACACAAAATATTAGAGCCTCCAATTGTCTGCCACTGACAGAGAATTTGGATAAATGCTTCAAATATTTCCATGTATATCTATTACATTAATAATTTCTGTCTGTTCTTATTAATAAACATAGTCCCCTGATATTTAAATTTTCCATCAAAACATCTTGGAGAATGCCACATTTCTTATAAAAGGGCCCAAATCAAGTATGTCTGGTTTTTTTATGACAAATTATTGGAATGATCACATCCAGCCTCTCAAAGAAGCAAAATGTTTACATGAAAGAATTTGTCTTACTCTCCTTATTAATGCACCTATGATGCATTTGTCAATCTACACTAGAGGATCCTTCAAAGCTTCCAAGTGATTTCTGGAGACAGCCTGTATGAATACAATAACCAATGATGATATGTACAATCTACTGTATTTAGGATCAATACATACATAACAAGTCTACTGTAAAAACTGTCACATACATTTGTCAATTAAGGCAAAAAAGCAGACCACAGGTCTCTTGATTACAAATTATTAAGTTCAACCTGTGCCTTGATTTTCATGATAAAACAAGTTAGTCTCATGTGCAAAATTGGGAAAGAATCAAAATAAATATTTTACATGGCCATATTACACTCCATATCTGACAGAATTTTGGCTTGATCCAGAAAAGAATCTTGAATGGTTATTCCCGATAAAGATAAACAAAATAAGCCCAAGTTTAATGGCAACCATTCTGTAGATAGCAGTTTAATTTTCTTTCTTCTTTCACCTTTAAAAGAACAGAAATTGAATATGTTTTAGGTTTAAATATCATTTTAAGTGAACACTTTGAACTGCTTAGTTTGCTTTCCCAAGCATCCTTATTTAATAAGTGCTATTAAATACAATAACATGCAAAAGTTTAAACTTCCCTAATCATACTGTAAGTTCAATAAATCCTTCAGTGAATGGAACCTGACACAATGTCTATGTGGTTGAAAGTTAAGCACAACTTCCTGCAACTTTGAATACCTGTTTATAAACCTCAATATCAGTGCACAAGTGTTTACCCATAAGCTGGGTAATTAAATGTCTGTGAGGAAAACAGCCAAAATGTGAGGTGACATTTTAACCCTGAGCCATGAGTATTCTCTTCTACTGGCTCTTTACTTTATAAGGATGTTTACACTAAGTGAAGATGCCTTGTTTTCTGACATATAATATGGGGAGCAAATAAGAACATTATGTCCTCAAGCTTACAGTTACAAAGGTTCTGGTTTTTATGGTTTCATCTTCCTGTAAAATGACCAAGCAGACAACTATAAGCTACATAGCAATTTTTTTAAAAGCCTCATGTGATCAAAGAAACAAATGAACTATGTTTTGCTAAAGTAAACTGTGACATTCTGTGCCCCCCTCAAGATCTTTGAGCTCCAAAGAAAACAAGGTACATAAAGCAAGCTAGCGATATTTACCCCAGGAGCAGGTTAAGTATTACTCATATCAAAAATAAATCTTGCTACTACTATTTTTGTAGCTTTTCACACCTTGTCCAAGCTTTAAAAATGACAAAGTAAATAAAGACATTTCAATTCCAGAGTTTTTCTGGATCCCCATAGTAAGTGGCATTTGTTCTGAAGAAACCCTGGAGTAGAGAGTTACATCAATCCAAATTTAAGTTTAATTATAAGGAGGGAAAGTAGCCATGCCTACTTTGGTAGATAATCTGCCTTAGCAAATATTTTATCTTTTTTTACAATATTAGAATTTTTAAGTTTCTACTACTGTTCTTTGGATGGGCCTGCTAAACATTACTATGCACTATTTCCTTAAAGGTGAATTTCTTTTTTTTAATGTCTTTTTGTTGAAGAAATGAAAAGTATATTGAGAAAAATTCAGAATGCAATTTGTTAATATATATCAAATTATCTTGACTTATATCACAAAGGCAGGAATAAAGTTCTAAAGTATTTAAAAAACTTTTTTCTAGCAGGGACCTTAATGACAATTACACAAAGCAAGTTCAAGCAAATGCCTTTATGTTGACACACAATTGCTTTTCTCATAACTGGCACATCGGTGTGCATATGCATATGAAAACATATATATTCTACAACAAACTTTAACTCATTCTAATAATTCTAATAATATTCAAACAACCCGTACAAAGTCTAAGGCATTCAAATGGGGAATTCCCTGTGTTACTATTTATCACAAAAGTTTGTGCATATTTTGAAAACATTATAAATTCATAGTTGTACTATAGCTTTCAATAGGATCACGGAAGGAAGTCACAAGGTAGACCCAAAATATTTGTTCTGCAAGAACAATTCTGAAAGAAACGGGAAGACTGAACCCTCTCCATGACATTTACAGATATTAAACCACACATTTCAGTGAATAATAATTCTACTTTTCTCCAGCGTCTCATTGAACAGTTCAATTATTTTTCACTCTTTGTGCTACTATTTAACATGTTGGCTGCAGCAATGGAGAATGCAGCCTTTCCCTGCAATATGTAGTCATGACAGTTGAGAAAACAATCTACAATATAGCTGGAAATAGCTGAAGATATGTGATGTCTGAGTTCTCTTTTTATTTCATCGCAATGCTTCATGCAATTGTTTATTACTCTGGTGCTTCATAGCATTTGCTTGACCTTGGTTTGCGGGGGGGAGGGGGGATCTTTATTGAGTTCAAATAACCCTTCAGTCTAAAGTGTCTGTAGTGTATGATTCTGGTGACCCTTTCTTCATATTAGGAAAATTGGAAGTATAGGAGCAGTAATGGTTAAGAACATAAGACAAATAATTAAGTTAAATTGAAGAGACTGAATAGAAAGGGAGGGAGAGAGAGACAGAGAGAGAAAGAATAGGCTTGGTCTTTTGGGAAGTTCTAAATTATCCAACCACTTGTCCCAAAGGTGCTTTTTTCAAGAGGCAACTGAACTTTCTGGTTTTTCTTTGAAGACATTTCGCTTCTCATCCAAGAAGCTTCTTCAGCTCTGACTGGATGGTGGGGGGTAGAAGGATTTATACTCCTTGCAGACAGCTGGCCATTTGCATTCTTTTAGTGAGTTGTTAAGCTCACCTGGAGGTTTATCTCACTAAAAGAATGCAAATGACCAGCTGTCTGGAGGGAGTATAAATCCTTCTACCCCCAACTATCCAGTCAGAGCTGAAGAAGCTTCTTGGATGAAAAAGAAAAACCAGAAAGTCCGGTTGCCTCTTGAAAAAGAACCTTTGGGACAACCATGACCTGGATGACTGAGAATCTCCATTGACATTTACCCCAACCACTCTGTTCACAAAGCTGGGCCCAAGTGGACTTACCTTCTTCCTTAGAAAATAAGCTAGTGATGAACTTGTCAACTCAGAAACTAAGGACACCCAGGTCATGCAGAGGAATATCAGAAAAAAACAGAAGTAAGCCACACCATCCTTAATTTTAATATGAAGTATACTGCCCTACTACAAAAGAAAGCAAAAGGGGTGACATGAGAAAAATCAGAAGAAAGCAAGGCTAAGGAATGGTTATTTTCAGGGAAAGGTACTTGAGAGGAACCGAAACTTTGCTGAACCCATTAAATCAGGGCTTGGATATTTAAGACCAACTCACATGGGAGATTCTCCACTGAAACTATTTCTATGACAGCTTTATCTTGAAAATGCTGCATGAATGATTGTTCCCCAGAATAAACCCAACAGTTATGACTAAGTCTACTGTGAAACGTAACTACTGTACTCAAGAGTGTTTTTTGGGAGCTGTGCCGGTGCTACTGCCTGACCTCTTGCAACCAATATGAAGGATTAGATCCTGATTTATGGTTTTATGAGCAAGAATAACTGTTGAGTGGTTTTCCTGATTTATGACTGCTGCTTGCCTTCCATTTAAGTTATGAAAGACAGTCTAGGAATAAAGATAGTTTTTCTTTCTAGAAAGGTTCTTATATACCAGCCTCCACACCTTATTTTCAACGAGATATGTACTTATATATTTTTATTAAAGAGAGGTAGACAACCTGTGGTACTTCGGATGTGGCTGTATTGACAGATTCCAAGAGAGTCTGCCATATGTTCAATCATGAGAGATGCTAAGACCTCTATCAGAGATATCTGGAAAGCTGAAATTCACTTACAGTAGAACCTTGGGTCAACACCGTAATCTGTTCCAGGACTTCGGTTGCAACCCAATTTGGTCATGGACAGAACAAACAAGACTGACTGTGCATGTGCAGACAAAAAAATGGCGTGGAAGTGGAAATCACTGCGGCTCTGTTTGATTGCCACCCAAGGATTTGTTCACGACCAGAGTTGAACATTTTGTGGATTTTTTGGTCGGCACCCAGTTTGGTCGTGGACAGAAGCATTCGTGATCCGAGGTTCCACTGTACTTTTCTTATAAATAAGGCACTTCCAGCTATACTTCTTCCTATATTTGGTGTTAAACAACATAGCATCTACTAACTGTGTACACTACATTTCTAATGTGAGTTTAATAACACATACAACTCAGATCAGATTTAAGTTTGTAACCTGAGATCTCACTGCATTTTCCCCTATTGAAATTAAGAGTGAAAATGAAAAGTAAAATAACACCCAATACCTGATCCTTCTGCATCCAAACCACCGCCTGAAATGATGCTCTGGATCAGTGCTATTTCCACTCTTAAAATTCCCCTCCAAAAACACTCCAATGCACCTCCCCCTTAATCATCATCATCTTTTTGGTGACATGTTTACAGATTTTCTGGACCTTTGGAGTAACAAGTTGCAGCCATCAATCTCGGGGAAATTGCTCAAACTTGTCCTAAGTTTTTATTGCAAACCTATGAATTGTGCTTACAATTTACTCTCTAAATTAACAATCAAAAATTTACCATTTTTCCTATACGTAGTTCAGCCACATCAGTGAAATTTATTCCATAGAAAACATTGTGATATTTCTAGATTAGCCTGTTATTCTAATGTTTTAGACTCAAGTTGCTTTGTGAAGTTTTTTTCTCACCTGAACATCAATAATTAATCATTTTCCGAACTGCATCATAGCACTTCCATTTGTCTGGGATATAGAATGGTTCAAAGATGTGAGGAAATGGGGTGTCATAACCACATACTCTTGTAATAGGAGCTTCTAGATTTAAGAAACATTCCTCCTGTTAAAATAAAACAGTAAGAAAATGAGTGAAGTCTATAAGATCATTCTTCACATTTTAATACTTGCTAAAATATACCACATTGACATTCCTGAAATTCAAGATATAACCCCTAGGAGAAAATTAAATCTTCATGGAAAATCCATTGAAGTTATCTAAAAACAGAACATGCATATGCAAAGCAATATATATATATTCTGGCACAGCAATAGGCTGCCCCAAATTTAAAACTGAAACAACTGTGGGGGCCTGACTCACAGACGGACACAATCAGAAGCCTGATGATGGCAGATGAGATTCTGCCGAAACGTTGCTACAACTTTAAAAGCACAACTACAATGACATGGGAAAATACCCGAACAAAGCTGAACGCCATACATGTAAGTACCCGCGAAAACTTAAGAAAACACACACACACACACACACACACACACACACACACACACACACAGATGGGATTACTAGATATTAAAAACAAACAGAATGACAATGGCTATGTGTTTTCTAAGGTCATATGAAAAAGATTCTGCTAAAGACAAAATGCTGACCAGCAGCTAATATTTTTTTCCCTAGAAAGACAATTTCACATTCTTCATTTGATCTATATCCGTGATGGCAAACCTATGGCACGCGTACCAGAGATGGCATGCAGACCCTTCTCTGTGGACATGCGAGCTGTCTCCCCAGGTCAGCTGTGCTATGCATGGGAGCTTCCTCCCTACCAGCGGGTGTCTGCTGTGCATGCAAGGGGGGGGGGGCGGGGCACATGTGCTGGAGACGTATGTGTATGTGCATGGCACATGCACACGGCACGCAAGCACATGCATGGGGGGTAGGGTGCATGCACGGGAATGTACGTGTGTGCGCTTTGGGCACTTGGTGCTGAAAAGGTTAGCCATCATTGATCTATACCATATTGATCTAAATATAAATTTTATTTAGAAAACTCAGATAACCTGTTGTGAAACAAATTTTAGGACTAGTTTACATTGCTTATGTGACATAGATACAATAAATCAATATCTGTGAAATCTGTACAGATTACAGAACAGAACTTCAGGTAATGGAAGCAAGGGAGTAAAAATGCAGATGTACAAGTAATTTTCAATTATAGGTTGCTCAATTGCATCTGAATGCATGCACTAAAAATTAAAACTGATTATTCTACTAATTTGCTAATTCAAAATGAGTTTGAACAGAAGATGTTAAACCTTGTTCTAATTATGAATATGTCTCATTTTCCTACTAGCTGAGTTAAATAACTGCCTTGATTAAAATTCACATGTGGAATGTCCAGGATCTTATCTCAAATTGCCTTATGCATTTCTGTCTCTGACAGCTAAATTAGTTTGTAGAGGTCATCATTAAGATGGGAACTGTCCTAATGTCCCTGGATAAATAAAGGGATATAAATTAAATATGTTCATAAAATTCTTTGTTTTCTGTTGTTTTTACCTTCAATAAACAGAAAACAAATGCTTAAAATCTAAATTTTATTGTTTAAATCTAACTCTCTTTTGAGCATCATAAATGTACTATCAAATTCAACAATCCATTTTTTTCCTGGTTCATGTAAGAAATACTCAAATTTAATTTCAATATTTTTGTAATGTTGTATGTCATTTTATTAGTTTAGATCAATATGAATTTCTGCAGAATCTTAATATAACTGAACTGTAGAATTGTATTCATTTTATGTTTCGGTACCTTATAATTTATAATAATGTGCTTATTATCAAACAATTGTAAGTATATAGAATAAGCACAGAAACAGCATATTATACTCCCAGAAAACACCAATATTTTTATTATAGTATCTATTTTCTCTCTGTGAATGTATTAGAAGTGAGCAAATTGCTCCAGGGCTGAAATGTTCCAGTCCCAAACATTTGTTTTGATCTTGGACACCTGTTCTAAGATAAAATTCCTAGAGAAGTTCTGGAAGACTACCAGAAGCTCCTTCAACTTTGAAATGAAGCATTCCTTATGAGAGTTTTCAAGTCTAGTATAATTCCAACAAAATCCTATGCTATTGGATAGGCTATTTCTGCTTATCTGCTTTTCTCATATAACATCATTGTAACCGTTGCAGGACAAATTAGCCAGCTGAAAACTGGCTATATATTTTACAAACTAAACACAGACTTACAGTGAAATGTCAATAGAAGAGCACAGTTTACAGGCATACTGCAACAGGCTTGTCGGTTTAAACTGCAGACAGTGGCATAAATATTTCACTTTTTTTTCCAAATGCATTTTCAACCCGAGTACGCTTAAAAGAAAGGTTGTTTTTTAATATATAAAATACACACACGGCATTCTAACATGCACATTTTTAAAATGAAACGTGATACTAGCCTCTTTTTAATAATACACCATTCAGTGCTAGCCACCCAAGGGGCCTTCCAGGAATGAAATGCAGAAACTTGGGCTTGTAGATAGCTCCTTTGTGTGACAATACCGAACAGGAAAAGTTTGGTTGCATGTGGATGAGCAGCCAAACTTTACATATTTAGGATTCATATGTTTCAGCTTTCCAATAAAAGCATGGAGCTTTCAAATTATTTTCTTTTTTTCAAGTTCATCATCTGAGTTGTCCTTGGACTATCTGTACGCAAGCTGTTTCTTGTATTCTATTTGGACTGCACTGACACTGTATTTTAGCTTTCCTGATCTAATAAATTATAACTCTCCCCACTTGAATTAAGGTGAACAATTAAAATAAAATGAAAACTTTAAAATACTTTTCAAGTACATATTTATTGCTTTCAGTAATATTTTTTAAATTTCTCATTGTGGAATGAGGATGCATTCAGTTTTTTGTTTTGCTTAATTTTTTTCTTTAGCATAACCTACATTTATTTTTCTAGAAGAGATATTTTTAAATATGTGCAATTTTATATATTCGTTAATTATCTGAATTCATTTGTAAAACTATTGCAATTTAAGAGAAAAATACAGATTATATAAGATTAAATATGTATCAATAAAGGAGAATTAAATATGCATTTGTGTTTAGAGAGCATATGGAGACAAATCTTTACTCTCTCCATAGGTGAATATTCCATTTCATGTTGATAGATACAAATACATAATTATAGAATAGCAATTTCAACTGATAATATATATTGAATCTTTGGTAAAACAGTGAGGTTTCTGCTTAAATGTATGCATTTTAAAATGTAGAATAACATTTTGCTGTGCTAGTTTCCAGAAGCAGAAAAGAAATGCTTAAAGAAAAAGTGATAATCCCTTTAGGAATTATTTATATCTACAACGTTTGTTACAAAACACTTGATTTAATACAATTAATTCTTAGCACATGTTATTTAAATTCAAAGATGATTTAAATTTTAAGAAATATTTGATATTGTCTTACTGTTAACAATTCAAAACTGGGATGATAGTTAACTGCACATGGAAAAAAAATCCTTCTTATATTCCAAACGTAGTGTAAATCTATCCTTAACGGTGAGATTATTTTTAAAGGAACGCAATGGGGGAATAAGAAAGGAAAAAGAAAAACATCTGTGCTTATACAGCTAGTACTGAATTACAAAGTACCCTTCCAGGACTAAGGATTCCCTTTTTATTAACATGTGGTGAAAAGTAAAATCCTACACTAAAATGTGTTTCCTACTACGGATTCAGACAAACCAAATAGGGTATCAGGAATACTGTAAATACAACATGATTTCTGAAATACACTGGGCTTGATACATTTAATCCCACAATCAAATATGCTGGAAATACCCCTTTTAGGGCTTAAAAACATGTCAACCTCCAGCTCAAATTGTAGCAGATAAAACAAAAATATGTGTTCTTAATCAATTTCATGAAGACAAAATATCGGATTGTTGCAGATATTTTAGAAGCTAAGTTAGTGGCAGTTGGCACTGGATAAGAACAAGTTAAGTACAAAAATAGCACATGGTTTGTTCAGCTAGCAATGATTAATAATACTGGTTGTTCTATTTGCATCTATAGCAAATCATCAAGCACTGTTCTAGATGGTTTAGATTATGGTAATCCGTGAAACAGCCCTGATATTAATGCAATGATCTTCAAAAGGATCTATAAATTCTAAAGCCTTACCTTACTGTTAATTAAAGGCCTGGGACATTACACATACTAAAAGTATAAAATAAAGGAGAAAAAACACTGAACATTTTCTTTAGAACATATTGAAGTATTAGCCTACATATGAATTTAAACCATATTTATTTAGACTTAATTTATATTGTCATTAATTAGTTTTCTCCACTTAGTTGCTTCTCCACTTCACTTCTTTGATATTACTATAATATACAGCAACCAGTAATATCAGTAAGCTACATTGGCAAAAATGATCTTTAATAAGAAAACTTACCCTTTTCAAATGCGCTTTCTTAAAATGTATACAACTGATCAATTTTAAGAACTTGATTTCAAACTGTTTACAAATACCAATTATGAAAAACATTTGAAAATTGTAAGTACAAATTTGAACCAATATGAAAAAAGCTTGTTATTTACCATAAAACTAATGCAAGCATACAGCATAGCCAAGGGCAATTTAAGATGATTTAATATTAACTAAACAGAAACTCATAACAAAGGAAAAATCTAGATTGTATTTAAAAATGTGTTTAAACAATACAACTTATTTTATTGCAAAAGCAAACTTAATAGCTATTAATGTTTTCAAAGTCAATATGTACACTCTCTTGAACTAAAATGAATCTTTAAGTGTTGAATTTAAATTATCTGGCAAAGCCATTAATTTTGAAGTGTGTGTGTGTGTGTAATTTTTAGAGCCTGGCTTAATAAAAATGTTTTGCACATATGTTCTAATGCATCACATAAACTACTATGTCGGTGGAGAAGGATTTCATTTCTGAAAAGCTTCTACAAAGTTCTCCGTGACAAAGGTAGAATTTTGCATCGATTGTTTGTTAGGTTGGGGCCATTTCAATACATTTAATATTCTTACTAAATCTGCAGTTAAGGTTTCTAAAAAT